TCGCACATACGCCTTCATCCAATTCTTCGCAGAAGACACAGAGAAGATTCTTGAAATCAGGGCACAGGTACACGACGTACCTAACCTTGGTGGAGTTCACGAGCCCACTCTCCCGAGGCTACATGATGTCACAGAGCAGGTGCGAATTCGCCAAGCACAAAGAGCTCTGGAAAATCGCAGAGCTGATGAGTCTCAGGCTCAGCGGTTTGACATCTACACTCCTGAGAGCTCCGAGCTTGAATCTGAGCATCCTGTGTCTCAGTCTGCCACGACCAATTCCACAGAACATGACAGCCACGATGATGTTGATGATGATATCTTCGCATTTGCCACTTCGCATCCCCCGAATGTATGTGTAAGCCATGCCTCTGAATCAGCCTTTGTGTTCGAGGAGGAATCCTTGGATGAGCCTCCACAGCTCGGTGTCACACCCGAGTTTGCCAAATACCTCACAATGCTGAACAGCTGTGACGCATATGCCTCCTTCAACACCGCTCACTGTGATCGCAAGCAAAGTGTGCTAGCAGTGATTGAGAGGGTGAATAACATCATCACCCGAGCTGAGGCGCTCGAAAATGTCGAGCGTTGTCGCAAGGCCATGGTGCTGGAACTAATGCGTTGGCATAAGCATGGCGCCTGGGAGCGCGGTGCTCGTGCCGGAGCACAAAACGTCCTAAGCAGCAAATGGGTTTTAAAATGGAAGGATATCAAAGGTTCCAGAGAAGTCAAAGCACGTTTAGTTGCACAAGGGTTCAAAGACACACAGGCGGTTGAAAATTATGCAGGTACTACTTCGAGATGGGGTCAACGCATGATCATTATAGCCGCTGTGCAGTTCAAGTGGCGTCTTGTTTCAGCAGATGTGTCTGAGGCATTTCTTCGTGGAATGACTTTCAAAGAATTGTTTGACGAGGGCCACGACAAAGAACTTCGAAAAGTCCAACTAACGCTGCCTCCGGGAGCAGTAGAGCTACTGCGTACACTGCCCGGCATGGAGGAATTTTCTGAGGAAACTGAGGTATTATTTCTTAAGAAACCCGGTTTTGGGCTAAAAGATGCGCCAAGACTTTGGGCCAAGGCTCTCAGAAGGGTTTTGACGCGCATTGGTCTTAAGGCTTTGCAGACGGACAGCCAACTGTATGTGATGCACGACGCAGAAGGACGTCTCATGATAAGTGTACACGTAGATGACTTGAAACTTACCGGCGAAACAAAACGTATCAGCGATGCAATTTCTATTTTGGAAAAGGAGTTTGATGCATTAAAGTTGGAGGAGGATAACTTCACGCATCTTGGTCTTAAGCACACGCTAGAGCCTGATGGCACACGATGTGTGTCACAAGAACACTACATTGCTGAGCTTAAACCAATACCGGAAAGTGATGTGAAAGTGCTGGATGCCGAGACTCCAGTTTCGGCAGACGTACAAAAGTTCTTCATGTCCCTTTTGGGTGGAATTTCGTGGGTTACCCAAACTCGACCTGATGTGTCGGTCTTTGTGTCGGCGCTACAACGACGCCTGAAACAGCCGCGAGCATGTGACGTGCTGAATTTGAACAGGGTTCTCAAATACCTTAAACTTAAGCCCCTATGCATGAGGTACGCTAAGATAGCCAAACCATGGCGTCTAGTGGCCGTTAGTGACAGCAGCTTTAAAGGCGAAGACCAAGACCACTTGGCCGTCAGAGCTGGGGTCATAGCCCTGGTTGACCGTGAAGGTTGAAGAGTAGGGCCCAACACTTTGCAAGTGCTAGAATTTATCAGCAAGAAACAAAATAAGGTGTGTAGGAGCACGTACGCCGCTGAGCTCCACTCGTGCCTGGATCTTGCTGGGATGGCGTTGGTCATCAACGCAGCATTGACAGAAATTCTTCAAGGAAATGCTTCTGCCAGTGCCCTGTTAATGAAACAGGAGGCCATGAACAATGCCCTCGAACTTGACATGCTGATTGATGCAAGATCAGTCTTCAGCTCCTGCGAAGCTGAGGAAGCCAAGTGCACTGATTCCGCGGTCATGCTACACCTATTGAAGCTTAGAGAATTGATAAGTACGGTTATCGATAGGCTAATATGGGTCGATACTCGCTTCATGCTTGCAGACGGCCTCAACAAAGGTTCTGTTGACCGCACTGCCCTGCGACTTATGTGCGAGTCCTCCAGATGGGACATTCTTGAACCAATGCTGACGTGCACTAAGAAAGTTCCCAATCGCCCGTGAAGATTCTTGAAACATGACGACGCCTTGCATCCGTGAGACATTTTGTCTACAGACCTTGAGTGCAACCCACGGAGAAGATCTCCACACAGCCAATCCGAGTCAAAGTGTACCTGGCAGGCTTGGTGCCATTCCGATCCGTGCCACTTCGAACCGTGCAACAATCTGCCGCCGTGCAGCCTCGAGGTGGTCAACCTTTGCATTTGGGTTAATTAGGTAGGTGGTTGATAGCATAGGCCATCGTTTCCATCCCTGCTGGACTGAACCTCTCCCTTGAACCCTAAGCCCTTAAGCAGAAAGCCAGTCACAGTGCTGACGAATACCGTCATGCACGACACGAGGAGCCATGGAAGACGTGCGAAGCGAAAAGGACAACAAGCGATTCACAGAGCAGTTCACTTGGACATCAGGCCACGGGGTTCGGGCAGGGATCGATTTCTTGACTCCCTAAACCCCCCAAATCCCTAAACCCGAAACCCTATGGGCTTTGGAGCTTCTGAGTCGTGGCCGAACGGCATCCAAGGCGAATGATGGGCAGAGATATGTGAGCCGCATCTGCCGGCCACGCGGCAGCATGTAGGGTTCAGGGTTCAGGGTTTAGGGTTTAGGGTTCAGGGTTTAGGGTTTAGGGTTTAGGGTCTGTAGGGTCTGTAGGGTCTGTAGGGTCTATAGGGTCTAGGGTTTAGGGTTTGAGGTTGTTCGGCTTCGAAACCATCGCAACCCCAAGCCTTGTGGCAATCCCACTCCCAACACTTCAGGTCATGGTCATTGTGCTTCAACATGTAAAGAACAAACCAGCTGTTGTGAAACCTGGAGCCCCTAAGCCCTAAACACAGCCACAAGCCAAGCCAGGATCAGTGGGCGCGTGGTCGGAGCGCGCCCTGGCGAACAGGAGTTTCAGGTTAACTTTCTTTGGGCAGCTACCAAGCTCAATGGGTTTAAGGGGCTAAGGTTTCGGGGGATCAGAGGCCTGGATTTGCAAAAGGTTTCGGCAGCAATGAGTCCAGTTGAGGGTCTTTTTTGTGAGGTTTCGGAGTTCGGGATGCATGTCGGCGGCGCGAATTGCGAGGCTGTTGGACCTTTGGGTCTTGAGGCTCAAGCATTTTTGTTTTCTGCTTGGCCCGAAAACGCGGGCACGTTTTGGCCCGCCTCGTTCGGTGTCAGGCCTTCCATCCCCATCCTCCAGCTGCCTTTCTTGGTTAACAACAAAAAGTAAAAATCACCTCGGTTTTTTTTCGCGAAGCCGCCAGCGCCTACAAACTGTGACGACTCCTTGAAACCCCAAAAATGAAATCCGGAACCCGAAGCCCTCAACCCTTAACCCAAACAGTGTGTGCCTCGCCTGGCTAGTCCGAGTGTGAGCGGTTGGACCCTAAACCTAAACCCCTCAACCCTCAACCCTCAGCCCTCAACCCTCAACCCTCAACCCTCAACCCTCAACCCTCAACCCTCAACCCTCAACCCTCAACCCTCAACCCTCAACCCTCAACCCTCAACCCTCAACCCTCAACTGGCCCTAAACCCTAAACCCTAAACCCTAAACCCTCAACCCTCAACCCTCAACCCTCAACCCTCAACCCTCAACCCTCAACCCTCAACCCTCAACCCTCAACCCTCAACCCGAGGAAGGGACTTCCGAAGATGGACACTTTGTCCCTGTCGGACCCCTTTGCCGTGGTGAAGGCGCTTCCCATGCAAGAAGGCTCCAAGGCAGTACTCATTCAATATATAAATATAGTGTTATATCAGCATTAAAAATCTCATATTGTAAGACTGCAATAAAATAATCACATAGTCATACAAGCATACAAGAATACAAGAATACAAGAATACAGGAATACAAGAAACCAAGAATATAAGAGTACAAGAGTAGAAGCACATCGCCCCAAAAGGGACTGCACCAGAGCATTCAGGGAGGCTTGCGGCTCTTCTGAGTAGCTATTTTTTGGTCTGATTTCTGCGATGGGAAAGCCAAAGGAAAGGTGCCAGGGGACTGTTTAGCTTAGGGTTTAGGGCTTAGGGTTTAGGGTCAGAGATCTTTTCACATCTTCGCCCGGATGTTTGGCTGACCCGACACAAAATCTCGTGGCGTCTCCTCCATGGCAGGCGATCAAGGGCAACAATCGCACGATCAATGCCACCCGGCATCTGCAATGGCCTTGCGTTTGGGTGCTTGCACCAAGCACCCCAAAGCCCTCAAGCAAAGAGCCCCAAATCGTCCACAGGGCTTCAGGCACAACGAGGCGACAAGCGGCAAGAAGCTGCACCATTGAGGCAATCCAGCCCCTAAACCTCCGAATGCCCAAGCACCGCTTCTCAGGTTCACATGACCAGGTGCATCCAGAAACTCAGCTGCAGAAGCTGGGAACCCATAGGCTGCGGATATGCTCCAGTATGTAGTCAAAGCATCAAAGCCCAAGGAGCCTCAAAATCCTAAGGAAGCCTGACGGCCCTGAACCCCCATATCAATCGGGGTCAGAGCTGGTGACCTTTGACACAGTTCATGGCCACTTGGATGTATAACTGTAAGGGCTGCAGCCGAAAGCTCTCCATAACATTGCATGTCATCAAATAAACAAACCATCCTAGACCTAAGCCGTTGGGTGTAAGCTTCAGAAAACCGGTCGGCCTCAACCCTCAAGATTCTAGTTTGGGGTTTAGGGTAAGGCCGTTGCTCAGGGCAAAGTTACCCAAAAAACACGGACAGCGCAAGACTCCTCGGCACTGAATCCTGGGGCCCGGAAGGTGGTGGCGGCTGTCCGTTCTAGGACTTGCCGGGCCCGTCATGCACAGCAAAGTCAGGAACACGCTGACTCCGGTTTGGGACGAGGAGTTCGACTTCGCCGTTTCTCCGCACGCGATGACGGAGGAGCTTGGGATCTCCTTTGTGCCTTTCGGAGGGAGGGTTCGAAGTTTGAGGATAAAGTCTTCCATTCTTTGTAAGGAGAGAGCTCCTCTGTAAAAAACCATTGCCGGGGGAAGAACAACTCATTATTCCCCTTCCTTATACCTCTGCACAAGAGAGCGAGTGCCGTAAGACACGAGATATAAACCAGCCTGTAGTACATTGCCCTTTATGCCACAGTGTCATCATGCCTTTCGCTATCTCGCACACGTGTGCATATTACATATGGAGTCGAGTTCGGACGCATGGAGTGCCTTGAATGGTTGCAGTCATAGTGCATGTCTAGAGCATGTGCTTGAAGTGCAGGGTATGGCAGGGTCTCATGTGAATGCCTAGGGGGCTGTCGAAGTACATGAAGCCCAAATCCAAGAAACCATGCGGGTAGTTCTCTAACATAGGGTCCCTTTTTGGGATATCCCCTGCAGAGTACGGCACCAGGACCCCCCAAAGGGACCCCACTTTAGAGAACTACCCACGTGAGCCACCCGTGAGGAGATCGTTGGGCTGAGGGTCGCGGTCTACGACTCGGACGGGCCATTCAACTCATTCTCAGGCTCCGATCGGCTGGGCTGGGGCAGCGGTTTAGGGGTGTTTTGAGCTTAGAAAGATAGATATAGAACCTTTTTGAGAACCGAAAAGGCTTACAGTCTTTAGGGTCTGGACACTGGCTGGGCTGTCCCGGGGGGTGGGGGGGTGGGGGGGTGGAGGGTCTGAAGACTGGGGTGCTGGCTTTCATGGGGAATGGGTGGTTCCTTGAGGGCCGCGTTTGGCCTGGTTTTCCTTTGATTTGTTTCGTCTCTGCGTTTCTCAGATGGGCAGGAGTGGTGTCTTGTATGGGGATTTCAGAAAACATGCGACCCGCAAATATCGACCAAATAGTAGGCTTCCCTTGCAACATAGACCCCGTTTCGGGAAGCCGCCCGATGTTTGCAGGGTGAGTTGCAGACATGTTGCAACCTTGCATATATATTCTACCGTTGTCTACAGCTACATCCATCAGGATTCCAAAACAGGGTGAAGCATGTGAAGCCTACATGGCGCTCAGAGACCTGGTAGCCCTTTGCCCTTTTTTTGGTTTCAAGGCTCCCTTGTACAGCAACCAACTCAACAAAGGACACCCTTCTCAAAATATGGGTGCTGGGCCGGATGTGGGATGTTGGCAGAGGCTCCAATGACTTCATGGGCGGGGCCGCGCTTGCCGCACGGCAGCCAGATCATGCGCTTTAGGTTGAGGGGTTTAGGGTTTAAGGGTTTAGGGTTAAGGGTTTAAGGGTTACGGTTCAAGGGCTTAAGGGCTTTAGTGTTGAGGGCTTCAAGGGTTTAAGGGTTCAATTTTTGCATGGTTTATTGCTCAGCTCCTGGAGCCTCCCCCGTGAGTTCAGCTACTGGAGTGAGCCAGTGGTAGAAAAAGGAGTTACAACGGCCTGCGCAAGCCTGGCGAATCATGGTAAGTCATCCTCACCAACAGGTGATACAGAAGGGTCTTGTATCCCCAGGAATTCAATACAACCTTTACGCCTGCGATTTTTATTTGCGGGCGTCCCGTTCCTGGCCACTCGTGAGCCATCATTGCCACTGCTTCAGGACATAGCTGGACAAAAGCATGGACGCGCCATCTCGCCGCGCCCACAATACTCTTATGGGGAACTCAACGGGCCCACGCAAGCCCGAAAAAACGGTCCGAAGCCCGAAGCTCGTACCACTCTTAGTCAAAGCCACTGAGCCGTAAATCCTCTAGACCCTAACCCCTAAATCCAAAAACCCTAACCCTCAGTCCTATAGACCCTTGTGGGCCCTTCGACCCCTGAGTCGCAACCGCACTTCTGCGGCTGGGGCGGGCGGCCAAAATCTCCCTACAAAAACCAACGACACAAGAAAGGCCCGACACCGTGGGCGTATATGGGCGTATGTTATTAGGGGACTGGAGAGTTTAGGGTATTTAGGGGCTCTTCTGTAGGCTAGCGGATCAGAGGCCTGGATGCAAAAGGGGCAGAAGAGCAGTGCAAGCCAGTCACATGAGATTTCTACGAGACGTGCCGTCAGATTCTAGGCAACTCGCCGGAAGATAGTCGCCTTACAATCAGTTGTTGAGGGCGAAGATCGCCTGGTTTAGGGTTTAGGGTTTAGGGTTTAGGGTTTAGGGTTTAGGGTTTAGGGTTTAGGGTTTAGGGTTTAGGGTTTAGGAGGGCCAGGAGGCTTTGGGAACAAGAGGGTTCGGGGGTGCCGGAGCCGAATAGAATCCTGTTGCAGGGTGGTAGGCAACCTGCAAGTCCACAAACCACTCGCCCCCTCCCGTCCTCCTAAACCCTACAGTAAACCCTGAACCCTAAACCCTAAACCCCAAACCCCACACTGGCCCGCACCCTTCCTGCCGCAGCACGTCCAGCTCGAAAAGGCAGCAGAAGTAAGGAGCGGAGCTTCTTCGTGGACGCCTATTCTTGGCACAGAGCCAAGACGTCGCGCCCCTTGTGACCCGGCTGAAGGCCGTTACCCAGTTAGGCCCCCTGGTTCTTAGTAGGGAATGAGGGAGTTCGGGCCCTACATTTACCCTTTAAGGGATTATATAGGGTACCTCATTCCTTCATTCCCTCATTCCATACTAAGAACCAGCCAGTAGGGGTTGGGGCAGGGAAGTCCCGGCCGCAGGTGCTTTTGTAGGGTTTGGGGTTTAGGGTTTAGGATGCAAAAAGGGTTTAGGGTTTAGGGTTTAGGGTTTGGGGGGTGTTTGTGGGGCCTAGTCGGCTGTTGACAGCGCGTGTCTCTTTCCAGGTTCGAGGTCGAGGAATCAAGTTTTGGATTGAGTGTTTTGGGTTGGTGCAGAGTTTTTGAGAGTGTTGTTTGTTTTTTTCGGGTTGGGGTTTTCTTGAGTCCTTGTAACGCAGATCCCACGGCACATCTCAGTAGATGGACCGGCGAGAGGGTTTGCCTAGAGCAGATGTGAGATGCAGATGCCTTGGTGCTGGTGCCTGCGGACTAGGGCTTGAAAATTTGCGTCTCGTTTCGAAGGCTCGGGCTTAGGCAAAAGACCTCTGTGCTCGCCCATTCTAATCTGAGGTGCTTGCGCTTTCGTTTGAACCCCATGGCACGTGCTGCAGACACACAGGCCGGGTGAGTGAGGACTCTGACGGAGTATACTTTTGCGAGTCAGACAGAGAGCGAGAGAGAGAGAGAGAGAGAGAGAGAGAGAGAGAGAGAGCGAGAGAGAGAGAGAGAGAGAGATTGGCCCCCCATGCCCTGCAGAAGAAGAAGAAGATTGAGAGAGAGAGGGACACAGATGAGAGAGAGAGAGAGAGGAGGGACGGAGATTCTGTTCAAACTCGGGCGTGAGTCTGTCTCACTTGAGGAGAGGCTGGGGGTAAAGGTTTGTTTCAGAGTATGGGGTACTGGGGGACCGCCCAGTCTTTGCCTCCCCAGAGCCCAACAACAGTCGGGGTGCACGAACTGCGCGGGGGCTCGCCGCCTAGCGCCACGAGAGAAGAAAAGAAAGAGAGTCGCAATTTCGTCGGGGTGTTTGTATTCTTGCGTGCGAGCTCTACCCCCAACATGAAGATCTGCCAGGCGCTCCATGTTCCAGACTAGTCGTCGTCGACACTCGGAAGCCCTCCAGTCCTGAATCAAATGCCACCCTTACAAAATAACCCTAAACCCTAGACCCTAAACCCTAAACCTAAACCCTGAACCCTGAACCCTGAACCACCCGAACCCTAAACCCTAAACCCTTAATTACCCTAAACCCTTGCAAAATGGCAGGGCATGCTTTGGGAGGGCATCATGGACAGCCCGCTCGCGGCAGAGACAGGCGGGGAGTTTCGTAGGAAGCTTCGGTGCTTGGCTGCTTGGGGACTGGAGGGCGGGTTTAGGGTTTAGGGTTTAGGGTTTAGGGTTGAGGGTTTTTGGGGTGTAGGGTATTCCCGGTTTAGGGTAGAAGGGGTTGGTTGCGTGAAACCGAGGGAGCATGTCTTATGCAGGTTACACAGCGGTGGAGGATCCCTTGCTTAGTTTCCAGGGAGAAGGCGCTGTCCATTCCAGCAGCAACCATCGAAGCAGTCAGTCGCGCCAAGTCTCGTGGTTCAGGTTAAGTTGCACAGGCTCTTGACAGGCCGACATGACCCTAAACCCTGAACCCCTAAACAATGAACGCTGAACCCTAAACCCTAAACCCTAAACCCTAAGCCCTAAGCCCTAAGCCCTAAGCCCTAAGCCCTAAGCCCTAAGCCCTAAGCCCTAAGCCCTAAGCCCTAAACCCTAAACCCTAAACCCTAAACCACTACCCTGCGCCCCGCTCCCAGGACCCTCTGCGACGGAGACGGCCCGTGCAGATGGTGAGGCACAGGTGGCACCCTGGGTTTACAGGTTTTTTGGGCTTTAGGGTTTAGGATTTAGGGTTCTAGGGTTTAGGCTTTAAGGTTTAGGGTTTACAGGGTTTTGCAGAGGTTTAAAGGTTGTTAAAGGTTTCATCGTTCACAGGCTTTAGAGGCCTAGGCTTCGTAGGCTTTGTAGGCGTTACAGGCTTTATAGACCTTAGGCTTTATGCAGAGAGCTCCTGAAAGGGTTGTTTATTTTGGGTATAGGGATTCTAGGGTTTCGGGTCTAGAGTCTAAAAACCCTAAACCCTAAACCCTAAACCCTACACCCTAAACCCAATAAAAGCCCAGACTAAGCGGTTTTAGGTGCCCAGAGCCTCTTGAACAAGGCCAGGGGCTGTTGAAAGGGCTTCGACATCCCAGGTGCAAGCATGGCCCCAGGGGGCCACACCCTAAACCTAAACCCTAAACCCGAAGCCCTAAACCCTAAACCCTAATCTTCAACCCGAGACCCTTTTTTAGAGCCCCTGCCGGAAACAAAAAAGAGAGAGAGAAGAGCTGGACAGGAGCCACCAGTGTGGGGCAGGAGGGGCATAAGCCAGAGACTCCCAAGCCCCTTAGTTAATTAAGGAATATTCCCTTACATTCTAGCAGGAACCCTAATATGATTTAAGGTATATTCCAATGAAGGAATGTCCCTTAAAGTCTAGTAGGTGCCCTAATATGATTTAAGGTATAGTTAAGGCTTAAGGAATATTCCCTTCAATTCTAGTAGGAGCCCGAATATGATTTAAGGTGTATATTCCTTAGTTAATGGGGTTTTGGAGTCTCTGGGAAGCTGGGTAAGCCGCCAGGAAGTTGGGGCCGGCAAGCCAAAGTTCCGTGGCTTGGCGGCAAAGGTGTGCAAGGTGCTCTGAGGGTTCAGGGTTCAGGGTTCAGGGTTTAGGGTTTAGGGTTTAGGGTCCCCCCCCCCCCCCTAACCTTAACATGCTAAACCTTGAGAATCCATGCTTCTCGCATTCCTTCAACCCTGACACATGCAGCCGTGCTGGAAGGTAAGATGCGAACGGGCGCTACAGAGCGACCTGGCCTCGACCTGTGTTGGTAGGGGGTTTAGGGTTTAGGGTTTAGTGTTTAGGGTTCACCTTTCTTTTGGCCCAAGGCACTCAGCAACAAGGTACCCGAAATGCAAGTCGAGCGGCAAAATCAGATGTCCGAAGGCAGAAACCCATACATGGCCCAGTGGGAGTCCCCAAACCCCAAACGCTCAGTTTTTTGCTCAAATCTCTGAGCCCACCAAAGCATAAGAGTTTTGGGATATTTTTGTGCTCCATCATCTGACATTCCCGATGCGTGCTGCATGTGCTCCAGAGCAAGTTTCGGTTTAGGGTTTAGGGTTTAGGATTTTTAGGGTTTAGGGTTTTTGGCTCGGTTCTTGATGTTGTATAGGCCTTTCACCATTTAGTTAATGCTCAGTACAAAAGTGTATGATACGGTACGTGTATGATACGGTACTTCCGTGTTGCATGCCCCTTCATCACTCAGTGCACACAGTGTTTCAATTTGTACTGCTATTTGACATTGTGCCGAGCGAGTGGCTGCTGCGCGTCCAGCGCTTAGCGGTTGCTTCATAGCCCTCAGTCCTGTAGCAAAAAGGGTTTAGGGTTACCAGTGGTGCGGCCAGATGCTTCCAAGCATGGAGGCTTCAGGGCTTGCTGTGTTTTCTTCCAGTCCGGGCCTAGTCGGAGGGAGCATCTGTCGCTGTGCCGTGGCGGAAGCACAGTGAAGCAAGCAGCCTCAGTGTCTAGGCGCTCTACCCGTATTCCTTCAAGTGGCCAAGGTTGCCAGACGACTTCGACGACTCCGTGGCCGTCTTGTTCGACTCTGCCGCTCGAGCCCAAAGAGGTTGTGGCTGCGAAAGGTGAGTGCCCGAGTCGTGCCTACCCTTAATCGCCCGGCATCTTGAACCCTGTCGTGGGAAGTTGAACCCTAAACCCTAAACCCTAAACCCTAAACCCTAAACCCTAAACCCTACACCCAAGTACCGGCTTCTTGCAGTATGCGTATGCCCTATAGGGCCGAGCGGAGGATCCTCCGAGACTAAAGTAGGCCGGCGTTTCCCTGCCGAGCAATTTGGCTTGTTGCTCTTTTGCCTCGGGTCTGGATTCAGAAGACGAGGCGCTGTACTACATGCGGGGGGTTTTACGAAAAAAACTCAGCTGAAGCGCTAAGAAGCCATCCTGAATCTCAATCCTGCACCATGAGCTAAGTTGAGGGTTTAGGGTTTAGGATTTAGGGTTTACTGTAGGGTTTAC